AGAATGCGAAGGATTCACACGTAGATGACGGGCAGATCACCGCAAGAACAGTCTCCTTTGTAGACTGCGGCACAAAGCAATTTGATAATTACACGGGTTATGAACCAGGCTTTGTTCGTCTACAGCTTACAAAGGATAACCTGCACACGCGGTAATCGCCATTTATGCCATTCAGCTCAATCTATGTGAGTTCTACACACCACCAAGACACTGACAGTAACGGCAACTTCAATTTGTACTCTACAAAAGAGAAGTACTCGAAAGGAAAACGCCTCGTCCTCTACTACGGTAAAATTGACGGAAAAAGAGAGACTTCAGTGATTTGCGTGTGTTTCTCTCCACCTTCCTCTTGACAATGTAAAGAGAAATGATTTGTTGATCAAGGATTGAAGCTTTGTACTTTTGTAAGGATTGTACTTTTGTACCTTTTTTAAACGACGTAAAACAGCTTTGTAATGAGACTACTCTGAAGCGTGTAAGACGGCAACATGTCCATCCTATTAACAGAACAAGAAAACTTGAAAGTCAACAAATTTGAGATGAAGTTCACTTGCCAATGACTTTAAACGAATTAAACGAGAAGGTAATCTATCAAACGCCAAACAGGTAATTGTCTTGTTTAGAATACTGTGAACAATAATACTAATATGATGAAAGTGGGCATTGTTGTCCTTCGTTTGTTGTATTTCCCGTGGGATCCTCAGTTATTAAATTGTTTAACTTAAACGAAGACGTGTCAAGCATTGCACAAGAAAAACGCGGCTTCGTCCTGTTCAGATGAGCTGCTCGCACAAAGTCCGCGTCATGTTCAATTTGAAAATGGAACCCAGATGGAATTCCGAGATAGGACAAGTGATGCAGAGCAACGCGAAGGAACAGAGGAAACTCAAACAACAAATAAGCCACATAAATAACGCAAAAAGAGAACAGCTCGGAAAAATTGATCAGGAAATGATGTCTTTGAGGAAGCAGCTTCTCGAAGACCGCAAAATTCTCGGTACTCGCAGTGACATCAAGAGACGAGAATACCAAAATGCGAACATCCTCGAAACAGGTTGTGGATCGCAATTGTTTTAAACCTTTTCAAGAACGTTCGCGCCACAGAACTTCTGAAAAGCAAGAAAGTAAATTTAGTCCGTCCAGGTTTGTTCCTACCGTAGAGGAAGGAATCGGCAGTTTCAAGAAAAAAATTCCCGATGCGGGAATGTTACCACCATCTTGTTCGACTCCTTCATTTCGCTCTGGCCGTCATTCCATAGCGGGAATTAATCTAAATGACACACTTCTCAGTAAACTTTATCCACAAACAAAACCAGGGAACGTGCCGCCGAAAAACACCAGCTCATCAAGCAGTATGATGGGGCTCGCCGGGTCGAAACTGGACCATCCACGTTTGCGACAGAGAAGGGCTAGCCTCCCTCAAGGGCTGGCGCTAGACAGAGACCAATCATTCGATTTATCCAAACTAAAAGCGATTAAACTACAACCCGAGAGAGGTCACAGTAAACTAGCCATCGACAAAGAGAGCAAGGCGAATCAGAATGTTAAGCTCGGTAACTTCAGCAGGCACGTTGATGGCGCCTGAGTTGAGGTGGAAAAGAAGGAATTCGCTCCCAAATTTCGACAATATTCCTACAAGTCAAGATGCAATGGCTTGTAAAGAACGTCTGACAGCTAGACTGACGCGATCCAGACCAAAGCCGGAAAGCGCTACAAACAAAAACGTTGCGTCCCCAGTTAGGCCATCCATTTTCGGAAGACAGTTTAAGAAGAACCCTACACCAGTAACAGAGGGATCAGAACCAAACTGTCATGATGAAAACAGCGAGTCACTAGGCCGTGTATCCTCCGTTGAACCAAATGAACCCAGCGAAAACGAACTGCTCTCGAGTGAACAAGAACTTGGCTTCATTCCAAACGCTACACTGCAAGAGAAGATGAACAAGTTTTTCCTGGAGTGGGTGGAAGGGTCGGACGAGGAGCCAAGAACTGATATCGAGAAACTTTTACAAGAGTTTCGAAAAGAGAAAGTAGAAAAACATTGTATTTAATCCCAAGAAGCCGACAACGACATGGAAATTGAACATCCGATACAAGACATGTCTCGATGTACAATAGACGCATTACCCGAGGAAGCCACTGCACGAATGGAAGACTATTTTAATTTGCTGTACTGTGAAGAACACGTTTAGCTAAATTAGAACGAAAGTGATAGTATTCCCTAGCTCAACCTGACATTAAGACAAAAGTTGTCAGGATAGCTAATCAGAAAAGTCGGAAGTTCCGAAAATAACGATTTAAATGTTTGTTTTGCTATTGCTAGTGGCGACGAAAACTATGCCGAAAAGGGCGTATACGTCCTTTGAAAGTGAAAAATGTTTTCGCATTTAGCCTTCTTGCGTTGCTGTAGAGACTAATTATTGCAAAAATCTTCGCTGCTGATACGCAATAAATAACATTCAAACGCCGTTATGTCGACGAATAGCAGAGTAAAAAATAAACCCATTTATTTTTTTGCTAGCAAGCTCAAGTTTTGCTGGCATATTTATTGGTATATTTGTAGCATAGTTTGACAAGATCCTTATTCTAGGTGCTACGGTAGAAATAAAAGATTTTCGCCTAACAGTGTTCGATACTTTTTTAACAACGCTCGAAAAAAACGGGTTGAGCACGCGAAAGTCTGCTTCCAAATTAAGCTCAACTGGTTTTCGCGCTTGTTATCACTTTGTACAAAAGACAGTTTTGTCAACAAATGTACAGTACATTTCTTTACAATTTTAGGTGCAAATAAACATGGCACCATGATGCAAAGAATATGTCGCCCCCAGCCGAGATACAGAATATTAAAACATACGGATAATTAATAGATTCAAAGGACTAAAAGATGAAGGATTAAGCAGAACTTTGCGAGCTATTACTGTTTTGCACGGGTTGGATAATAAACCGCCAAACAGTAGCTAGCTTAGCTTATTCAGATCACTGACCTGATTGACAAGAACTGACTTCCCTACGAGAGGAATCTCAAAAGTTCACTTTGGCCAAAACCACCAAGCTGGTTTCAGCAGTGTAAAAGATGAAAATAACTGCTAATAATCCTTTTTTAGACTAATTGTAATAAAAAAGGAATTAGTTTCAGGGGCTTTGGTCGATATTGGTTTTTGAAATGGTTTTAATTATCAAGAAATGAGGGCACTTTGGCAACACGGAAAATCCAAGGAGTACGAATGTCTACATAACACACCTTTTGCTGTTCATTTACAGAAATTATCCATTCATTTGTGTTCAAATTTGTTTCATTGTGGTCAATACACTCTCATTAACAACAATATAACCTTCATTTGCGCGTAAGGAACGTTCAAGAATAACACTTGCATATGTATTAACATTCAAAATCATCAAAAGATAAACAATACCTTCCTTTGACATTCATTGGCTGTAAATGTATTTTCATTTTTGTCGAAATAAAATTCGTTGTCAGCAAATTTGATATTCTCTCTTCCTTAAATAAATGTTATATGGCTGTAATGTTTGTCTCACCGCACTTAAGGTTCTCACCTTCATGGATATGGTTGTATAATAATGCAATTGATTGTGAGTGCTCATGCAAATCGTGTTATTGAAAGTCTTCTGTTGAAAAAGGATTGAATGGATATTTTCTGTAATTGACCAGCAAAAGGTGTAAACGGAGTTCTTTCAATTTTTCTAATCATTTCGTTAAGTTCCTTTACTTTTCAGATATTCCGAACGCAGGGCAAGACCCGCGGGGGGAGGGAGGGGGGAGAGGACGAGTGCGCTCTGGATGAAGTTCGTGTAAGGGAGTGTTGAGCACGGAAAACGTAACAATTTTTGGTGTGCTTCAAGTGGGCACGTCGCATACTTCTTCACTATATTTTTTAAACGTTCCTTTCTGTTTAACTATCCTAGTACCGTTGTCGAAAACAAGAAAACAGCCATCTCCAAACTAATGGTGTGAAAAAAGATCCCCGCCTCCCCCTGATTAGCTCATCTTTGCTCTGCGTGCCCAGCTGGAAATGTTGTGTAACGGAGTTAATTATAGCTCAAATGAATAGACTATCTTTATCTTTTAAAGCCAGGAATATTTGCTAAGCCCTCCCAAGAGAACCGAGTCTATATTAAGCCTTAGAGAAGCAACATCAATAGCAGTCGCCGATGGGCTTGTGCAGGGCACCCGCAGTCTGGCTAACTTGACAAACCTGGAGCAACGTGTTCATTTTAATACAGTCACGTTTTCAGCCAAGCTTGAAGGCGTTCCAAGTTAACAAGGAACGGCTTTGAAAAAGCTGGATCAATCCTTCACTTATTAATAAGATCGACTGGATTTAGCTCTTTTTAACCGAGCAGGAGGTCTGTATGGCAGAATCTTGACCGAGGTCTGTACACATGACCGAGGTCAAGATTCTCCCATACTGACCGACTAAGCTTTGTTAATAAGATGTTTATTATATGGCAAACAAGAACAATTTAATTCGCTTACTGTAACTGGTTTGTACTAACTGACATTTTGCTCGCGAACGGCGATGAGGCGAACTTAGTTCTTCCAAAGTTTGCTCTTCACTTTTTTTTCATCAGGCTTTTTGGCACTTCCATAAATAAACATTGTTAGAAGAAAATAGTCAATACTTTTGCATTTTAGTTTGCAACTTTTTCACCGCAAAATGTAACCGCTCTAAAAAAATTTAGTTACGAGCCTGACAAAAATTAGGCGAAATCATTTGAAGGCTTACTGGCCATATCGCAACTTTGTAAAGTTTGCGGAAGAACTGTGCAACGTGAAGGGAAAAAAGACGAGTTTAAGACTCGCCTTAAAGTCGGTCTGTGAAAGCAGAGTTCGGCGCGGCAAGAATGTTCGCAAGGGTCAAAAGTCGAGTGTGAAGAGCGCGAGAAAAAGAAGTTCCGGGAGAATCTACAAACAGAGAATGACTTTGAGAAAGTCTAAACGACTATGAGCATAACAAAATAAGCAAAACAACTATGAAGCAGTCTGTTTATTGAAATCTGACCGAATGTCTCGAAGTCATTTCCTGTATCTCTAAAAAAGGCGTACAATTTGGCCCACATCAGTGTTGCTACAACAAACACGACAAGAATTACAATTTCGGACACAACTTCACGAACAAACGAAGAGTCGTCTTTAAATAACGTCTATTTCTTTGCAACCCTTCAATTGGGCAACGAAACCTAAACCTGAAAACAAGAATGAAATCATATTGATAAAACTCTCTTTGCTAAATTAGCTGAATCATTGTAAAGTCCATATTATCCATATTCTTAAATCTTTTTGCTTTCTTCACTATGTTTTTTTTTCACTATACAGAAGACTCTATGGAATTCTGATTCCTTACTTCAGCCGGACCTGATGACGTCAGTTCGGTCACGTGATCAGACGTTACTGGTTGGGGTGGAGTTTTTTCTTGGTCACGTGAGTTGCTGACCTCTGTCGAGGAGCTGGCATCTTCAGTGTTCACAGATGCACCACCGAGTTCTTCGCGTTTTTCTACCCTGTCACAGTTCTTAGGACTTTGATCTGAGTTCTTCGTTGTCAACTCCGTAGGCTTGAGGAGTTGCTGTTTAGCGGGAGTAAAGCTTACTTTAGCAGCGAGAATTTTCTCCAGCAAATCAACAGATGAAGAGTTCTTAGACTCTGCGTTAGTGTCCGAGTCTTCCGGTGTAAACTGAAGCTCTGATTCCTGGAATTCCAGAGTTTTGTCCTCCGATTCACCGCTCTCAGACTCCTCGTATATGGCTTTTTCGTAATCCGTACAATTCGCGAGGCCCTTCTGAGCCAGCAGAAGCCCAATTGATACTTCTTCGACGCAGCCATCGCTTCTCGTTTTATGTTCGTACAACAGCACGCTGGCGGGCGGACCACTGAACTAGAAATCGACGTTCGGAAATTTGTCAATGATTGAGCAAACATGCTTTGGTTAAAGAAATTCTAAAAATTTTCAAGATTATCCACCATCACTTACCAACATTTTTGCCACGAGTTTCTTGCCTGCCACCAGTTGTATAAGAGCCTCCATGGTACTCACAGGCCAACACTCATCATCCATCATTGGCTCATCTGTGTCGTCTGGGGGCCTGACGTCAGCAAGGAAACAGCGCGTGGACTGGACCGGCAAATCCAACAACTCCGATGGAAAGCCTCGCAGTCTGGAAACATTGCAAAAGTAGTTTGACTTGGTAAAATATTGCATGAGCAACAGATGCGTGTCTACCAAGATCAGCTATGAAAACCATATGTCGTTTGCATGTTTGTACATGTTCCGCGTATTTTCAGAGCTTTACAAGCAAACAAGTGCATACATGGTCATGCTATCCGGTCGCTCCAGAAATTTGAGCAACGAAATCAAAGATTTGACTTACACACTAGACACTTCAGTAACCAGTTTAGGGAAATAATGCCACAAACTTCAGGTATTTTCCACTGCAAACATAATATACCATGCGACGCTCCCTCCAATTTCAAAATGACAGACTTTACCGTGTTTTCCTCTTTCGAGTCACGCTTTAGGGCTGACGAGAAAAAAGAGAATTTCTTTCTCGCAGTCGTCGCTAAAAAGCTCAAAGAAATTAAATTTCGCTGGCTTTGCCTCTACTTCAGTCGGGAGAACGTCTCTTTGCTAGCCATCCTCGTAAAACGACTCGAAAAGCGTCCGATCCTCACCGACCAATCACAAACAGCACGAGCATTACGAAAGTTGTCACGTGGGCCGTTACTGAGCAACAACCCTACACAAAACCGCTGACTTAGTGAATTCACGGACATGGGCCCGTTTCTCGAAGGTCCCGAAAAGTTTTCGCATCCGGAAAGCCGCAACAAAATTTCAAACCTTATGATCACAAAGTTGTTTTATTCACACATTCTTAATATGAACAGAGGTTCCCTTCATACAAGGAGATTCCGGCGTATACACCTCAATGTTTTTTGATATAGATTAACTAAAAATGGTTTTCGGGGCTTTGGAGAAACAGGCACATGGTGATGTAAAGTACTTGTGATGCAATTCTCTAGCGCTTACCTGTCGGCCTTGACCACCTCAGTCGTGCCATAATCAACATACACCACTCGTACTTCCAGTGGCCTATGACGTTCAACGGTCTGCACTTGCGCCCTGTACCACATATCATCTTCAGTATAACGAGCACAGCATAACATTCCTGCAAAGTAACATCACATGGTTACCTTGGAACGCACGCGCTTTCGCACCAAGCGCCCTTTTGTCAATTTTTACACTGAGCACACGATACTGAAATAAGCTTGCGTTGTAATTACTTCGAAACTAGTCTGACCTTATTTTGCTCTTTTTCTAGGACTGGAGATAACTGAAGCACTTCGCTCAAAACAGTTTTACCAAGATGAGGTGTTTCCTCGCTTTTCTAGATGCTCTCAGCCGTTGCAAACAGCGTCTTAATGGCGTTGACCAGAGCGGTTTTCCCTTTGAGTCTTTCCACTGCCACCCTGGCTTAAAAAACTCGCGCCATTTCGACATCTTATCAGAAGTAAAACCAAAATCAATTTTGCCTCGTTCGTGCGCATCTTCCCGCGCTTTGTACTGTCTATATGTATTTTCTTCGAGTTACGATTGGTTCACTGAATTGGCTACGTCCTTTGCGATTGACCAGAGTGATTACTTCAGTTTTGGTTTTACGACCCTCAGAAAACAGAGAAGTCAATACTGTTTTTAGCAAGTCTTTCTACAAGTACTTAATAATCAGCTTTTAATTTTTCTCATCCCAAAAAACACTAGCGCTACCGCCCCAAGACTTGTCACGTGGATGTGTCCTTATTAGGATACAGCATACGTCATGCTGCTTAGCAACGTTTCTTTCGAAAACCGCGGGCTCGGTCACTCGGAGGCTAAGGGTGCTTACCATTTAGCCACAAAATCCGGACATTTCGGTTGAAAGTCAATTGAACAGTAATTTTCCGGAAAATCCGTTCGGAAATTGTAGACTACCTCCAGAGGTAGTCTTCCTTTTCCATTCGGAACGGAACGGCGGAAATTTTCTTACCATTTGTTTCATTTTCAAGTTCCAGTCTCTCATCAGCCTAAAACAATTACGGAAAATCGAATGGTAAATGGTAAGCGCCATCTCGTTCGCTTGGTTTGCTGATTTTGGAAAAACCCTTACCATTATTCCACAGTCATCCCAACCGGTTTATTCTGACAAATGGTAAGCACCCTAAAATAAAAACCATAAACGGCAAACTTAACTCACCCTCGCTCGCAGTCGTCAATGGAGTGTACTTCTTAAAATAATCCGCGCTATTAATCTTCGCCATTATCTCCTCTAGCGTTCGGAGCTCTTCCGTCGCACTCTCCAGGGTAGGGTCGGGATCGTCAGAGAATCCTTTATCCACCTCCGTGGGTGGCACCCGCTGGATGAAAATACAGTCTGGTCGCTCTATGTGCGTGATGGTGACGTCAAAGCGAATGCCATCCCCAGGAAGTTCGGTGCGAGCCAGCACGCATTCAGCTTCTCGTGAACTGATCATTTGAGCATGCGCCCTGTCATGAAGGTAGTGTTAAGTAAAGAAAGATTAAAAGTAAGGTCAGTCGACGTTTCGATGCATTAGTACATTTACATACTTCAAGCATACTGGGATGCAATCCATTTCAAACTCAACTCTTAAATAACAACTTTGACATTGATATTAGCGACCTCAATCTTGAGAAAGATGCTTGATGCATCGAAACGTCGAATAAGATCTTTCTCTGTACTCGCAATTACGCACCTGGTTTCAGTAATTGATCTCTTGGACTTGATTGGTTTGGGTTTACCAGGCCCTCTCTTGCTCGGGTAGAACTGGGGCGAGTCTTGTTCTCCTTCAAGCTGCGTGGAAGATTTCTGCACCAGGCCTCTGGTCAACAAAGTCTGTGCTACATCAGAGCCGTCGGGAAGAAACAATTTGACCACCAGAGGGTAGCCAGGCAGTCTATCACCCTAGAAACAGTAGAGAACTGGCGCGTATTGATTGCCGATTTTCAAAGACGCCTCTTGCATGAACAGCCTCAGTTCTTTGAGCTTGTTCAGAAATATCAAGTAAAAAACTGATGAATTATGCTGCGCTTAGCGCAAAGATTTACACCAGAAGCCTTCCTTACCTTGATACTTGCAACACAATCCTGCCCAACCACGGCCTGAGACAAAGCACGGATGGCCTCTGGAGGCCAGTGACCATCACTGGTTTTCTACCAAAAAGAATGAGAGTGGACTTACATTGATTGTTGTTACATCAAAACTAAATAAATGGCATCAAATTCAACATCAAATTCAAACAGCGTAATGAGCCAATAAGAAGTTAAGACGAATAGATGCATCCGTGCCAAGCGCGGGAAAACGTGAGACGAATGTAAAGCCCGGGAAAACATATTTATTTAATTCCAGATGATATGGGTTTGCAGGGCACATTTCTAATGACTTTCATTAACCCAAATTAAACCAAACAATGACAGAGCTAACCACAACCGTAAAAAACTTATCAGGCTCCAGATACAAACGGCTGTCGCAAAGCGCGGGAAAATTGACGGGTGCCAAATTCCCTTCTGCTTCTGATTGGCAAGGCGAGAAATTCTATTGCCCTGATAGGCCAAAGCGTGATACATGGCTTCCAAATAAGAAACCATAGCTACTTACTGGTTCTATGCCTCTTAACACCAACTGAAGACACTGCTGTGGCACTTCCATAAAAGGCATCTCTTGTCTTAATGCACACAGGGACACCACCTCAGAGTTGCCAAAGTCAACGTAGTTTACCTGTGAAAACAAAACTTAAGTCTGTTGTTTCTGTTGGTAAATATTCGATAGACAAACATTGCGACGACAGTTATAATAGGGAGTTTAAGAAAACCACAACGACAAAAGCAACGTCGCTAAACAAAAGGTTTCATGAGCGGAGTCAATGACGCTGTACGTGCGTTATAATTCTTGGTACATTTCTTTGCCGTCCTCTGTAAAACAACAACGTGAAATGCCCAAAGTCTGCGTTCTCTGGAGAACGTTAACCATAAAGGCTAACTTTTTAAAATTTCTATTTCGAATTTAACGCTGTGTTCCATATTTAGTTTCCAGTTTTGACAGTGAGAAACAAACTAAATGACTTCAGAGTACCGCGAGATTCGTAGGTAAAATATAAATTCATTTTTTAATCGACGTTGTCCTCGGTGTCACCGTCGTGGTTACTTGGAGGTGAACACCGTTGAGTACTCCTTAATCTAAAGAAAGAAAACACTTGTCTATATTGAGCGCCGGCCGCAAAAATGTCTCTCTCTGAATCCTGAAGTGATAATATGTTTGATTCACAGCAGGTTCTTTAAGAAACTTTTGAATCCTCCAGATTTTCAACACAACACAGAAGAAAAATAATTGTGAAATGGCTATGAAGACAGTAAAACAATACCGTTTTTGGGAGGAATGTCGCATGTAAGAAATATCGAGCTTGTGGTGTTGGGGCATGTTACTTAGTAACAATAAGCACTTATGACGGCAAGTAGATGTGAGTACTTTCCATGTCCTGGAGCTACTGGTCGAGAAAACAAAAGATCGTTTTTGCTTTGATCCATCATGGCTCTTTGCTCCTCAAAGTTAGAGACGGACTTTTATTGACTTTTTTGAGGGGGGGGGNGCCAACAAGAATTGGATTCTAAGGGGGTGGGGGGAGGTTGGACAATTTCACAACAAAATATTCCTGCAGCGCAAACAGGGCTGAAAAAAAAAATCGTGCAAGGGGAGCCATGGGGGAAAATTAATCGAGCAAGTACTTTCTACTACCATCATTTTGATTTTTGATGTTTTTTAAAAAAATTCTTTCACCAGCTATTGCCCACAAAAAAGTCATCCAACACCTAAAGGTCAGGAAAACACTTACTTGCCCCCCCCCCCANTCCCCCCCCCCCCGCCCCCCCCCCCAAAAAAAAATTGCCCAACCCCACCGCGCCTCAAAAAAAAAATGGTCCGTCCCTTAGAGGAAACAGGGCTAACAATGCTGAGTTGTGAGACGGGTGTTACAATGACAGAAAGTTTACCTCCACTTTGTCCTCCTCTACAAACTTCACCACCCTTGCGCGGTACCACATACCATCCTCCGTGAACTGAGCAACACAAGGGAGGCCTGGAGATGCTGATGCTGCATCAACCGGTGCAGCTGACAAGTCTTCGCCTTTACCGTACTTCTCCAAAAGACTTCCCATGATATTTATCAATGTACGGTCCCCTAGAACGACAGAAGATCGAGAAATACGCTGCAATAGTTTACCCAGCGAACTCAAAACATAGAGGCCTGTTTTACGTATTCCCAGCCAGACAAACGTGACATGACGCGATCAAACACAAGGTGAGATTTGAAGAGAAACGTAGGGGGACTGTGGTATGTTCCTTTTTGGTCAGATACAGTTTAGCTCGATTACTAATATTCCATTGGGATTGACTACATTTCTTTCATTTCCACTGACTATGAAAGAAATTCTCTTCTCTATAATTTGTTCAAAAACCGGGCAATGAGCTCAACCAATCAGAGCAAACAAGCTGTTTTGTCAACCAATCAGGAGCAAACACATAACCAATCGTGACTAAGCGCTTGGCACAGATTGCATGCTTCGAGCTCTGATTGGTTCGTTGCGTCCTTTATGTTTGCTGTGATTGGCCAGACGCAATTTCTTTGGTTTTGGCTTAACAATAGCCATTGGAAACCGTTCCACTTATGAACACAACGACTGCTCTTATATCAGTTTTCGACCAGGACAGAGGACCCGCATAAAAACCAGCTAAGGCTGATGTGGCTTCCTCTCTAAATATTGTAATTTATTTATTTCGACGTTTTCTTCTGGACAGTCCCTAGAGACGTTCTTACCTTCCTTCACTTCTTGAGCATAAACATAACCTTGGGAATCCACGAACGTGACACCAGCTTGGAATCTGTTCCTCTCTGGCAAGGCAGCTGGCTTGTACTCGAACTCTTTACAATCCCCAGCCGAGACCGGCATCTCGTTAGCTTTTGACTCGATTTTCTCCTCAGATAAAGCTTTCTCCTCTGTGAAAGAACTGGTTTCATTTGACTGTTCGCCTTGAATGTCAGCCTCGCTCACGGTTTCCTGCAGACTGTCCGTTTCTTCCACTGTCTGCTCTGGTTCTCTTTGTTCGTCGGTATTATCTCCTGCGTTTTCGCTTTCAGCTGTGAATTCATGTCGGCTCTTTACAATACTGAAAGAACGCTTGAGTGAGCATGCGAGAATCCGAGACATGCTACGTTTCGCGTGCACTTTTCCTGTTTCTATCACTTTTGCCTTTTCTGTCTCTTCCTCTTCCTTTACATAACTGAAACGCAAATATTAACTCTCCACGAAATCAGATGCCAATCACCACACAAAACGACGACTGTACTAGAATATCTTGGAAAAATTATACTCAGG